GCCCTGTTTAGGATAGAATCTTCCATGGAAGTGCCTTGTGTGTGTCCCCTTCTCTTACTGTGCCCTTGGGTGTGGCCTACCCAGGTGTCAGTCAACCTGCTAACAGTGGACATCATAAAGATGGACTCAGCCGCCTAGAACCGATCCCTTGCCTCATTTGAATAGTTTATCCTCAATAAAAAGGGTCAGCATGTGCTCTCTCTCACTCTATTCTTGTGGACCCTTAAGGTCAGAGGAGCGTCACAGCGGGTATTTTGTGCAGCCCAGTCAGCCCAGTTTACCTGGAGTGACCCCTGAGCCTTTTAGTCACGAGAACAGAAACCCAGCAAAGATCCTCTTCCTTCTTTCAGCAGAAAAAAAGGTTGGAGACAGACCTTCCCTTGAAATTATCTGGTTGACATATTTCCACCTCCTTCTTAAGAAAGGGATCAATTCTTCCTACAAAGGAAAGTTTGCTTCACTCTTAAAGGCTAAGGAGCTCAAGATCTTCTGGATCTGTTAGGTTATCTCTGCAAGGGCTGGGAGTGTTGCTCTGTGGTAAAACACTTGCCTCCCATGTGCAAAGCTCCAGATTATCCCCAAGCACCACAAAAATTAATTAATTAATCATCTGTGAGGAAATCTTATGAAACCCTATAGCTGTCAAGGACACCTGCGGATATCCCCCTCAGTGACCACATCTGTCTGCCTCTGCCTCTGCTTATTTCTGAGTCATCCTCTCAGTATACAACTTGCCTGTCTGTTGGGTAATGCAGACTCCACACAGCTACGACAGGATTTCCCCTCCAGACCTGCTTCCCAATCTTTCTCACAACAGCAGACAATCACTCCATGCCTGGAAAATGCCAGATGCTATTCTTCATGCTTTACAAACATGAACTCATTGAGTTCTCACTGCCTATCGGCTGAGTACTAGCATGGTCTCATTTCCCAGATGCAGTGAGATCTAGGTGTCAACCCAAGCAATCGAGTCTGTCACCCATGAGCTGTGCTTCCAGGGTGGTAAACATACTATGCTCACCTCACAGTCCCATTTGGTCTCTGCGTTTCTTTCACTGTCCACCTCCAAAAACACTGGGAAGTCCTGTCACACTGACCTCCAAATCCTATCTCCTCTCTGTGACTCTCTCTTATATCGTCACCCACTTGAGCTACTACAGTGACCTCATAAATGATTTTCAAGTTTCCACAATCTACATTACACAAAGTAACTAGAGTAATCTTTTTAAGAGGGGAACTTGAACTGGTCACTCCTGCCTCCAACCATTCAGTAGCTCCCGAAGTCCTCAGAACAAAATCCCCACTTCTTTTCATGGTCTGGAAGGCCCCAAGACTGTGGCCTCACTTCCTCTCACTACATTATAAATATAAGAAATTTCTTTTGGCTCCTGAAACCATCAAAGCTAGTTTTCACCTCTGGGTCTTTGTAACAACTGTTTCTCAGCCTGAAAACTCACCCCTCCATCATTACAAGAATGCATTTTTCTTGTTACTCAAGTCTCAGCTTGAAGTAAACTCCCAGGACATCCCCTTCCTGGGCCTCCAGCACAGCAGCTCCCACCCATTCCTCCAAGTTTCCTTCTAGCATGTCACCCTGTGTGGTTGCACTCCAGCATTTCCCAGGATTTCCTCATTTTTGTTCATTTAAGTACTTGCTTCTTGCTCCTTTGCCTTTCAGCATTCAATGAGAGTAGGAATCTTGGCCATTTTTATTGAATTCTACTATCTTGTGGGTCTAGACTAGACCCCAATAATACCATGATAGTAGATACTATTAACACTTGTTGGATAAAGGAATGATTAGGAAAACCCCTTCAGTGATTTTCTATTCCCTGTAGGCAAAGAAGAATTAGCTCTGTCAACAGGTGCCATAAGGCCCAGTATACAGCAAGCCCTGATCCTCCTCTCAATCTCAATAGCACAAATTAACTGGATGTTCCTTAGGATGGGGAGCCTTCTCTCCTGCCTGAGTCTTTACCAGGATGTACCACCTGCAGGAAACTCCTTCTGTACCTATTGGCCTGACTACATCCTGACTCTTCCTTCAGAGCTCTGCTTAAATATCACCTACCTATGAAAACCTTTTCTGAGATGCAGGCCAGGCTCAATCTCCTTACAATCCCTCACTTTCCTATATTGCTTCACCTCACTTTTCACACTTACCATTTGACATGTAAAAACAAAACTCTGTCTTTATGATTATATGGTAAATTCTATAATCTCAGGGAATAAATATGCTCTCTCCATCCTACAAAAAGCTTTACACTAAGTAGGTGGCCTGGCTACGTCACCCATTTATTTGTCATACAATGGAAAACACAAATCACATATTCTTCGCTGTGAGAGTAGGCCAGAAGACTTCCTTGAATTTACCTATTCTAATTATTCATCCCAGGACTCATAGGCATCTCTCCCATCCCTGCCCATATCAGATGCAGGGTAAATTTAACACACTTGATACTCAGATACTCCTGGCTCCCTGCAGCAAGAGAACTGCCCTGTCCTCCATTAGGATATCTTATTCTTGCAGTGATTAGGAAAGCCAAGGGGAAAGATCCTACTTCTTATATCCCAAAGGCAAGTTCATATTGGTATGATATAATATAAACTGAAATAAATGGGAAGGCAGCCCGACCCAGGAAATTGGAGGTGGTTCTGCCTCACACTGTCAGAGCCATTAATTGGTATTAACCTCCAAAGTACAAAGATGGAGGTCCAAACTACTGACAGATAAGTTTATTTAATTTGGTGCCTAATATTTAACTGTACTTTTTTTTGGAGACTATTCATCTGGTATTGCGATCCAGTGCTTTAAGCTGGCACACATAAATGTGTGGTTTCTCATCTCTTTCTGTAATTGTCAACAACAGGTTGAGGAAGGTTGGTTAGCCTCTGAGATGAACTTATGTGCTCCAAGGTTCCATCCTGTGCTACTCTAAGATGTGCCATCATTCATCTGGATGAATCCTTGGGCACACAAGCACAAAATCCTACAGGACTGTTAGGTCATGTTATAGGGACAGAAGAATATTCTCCTTTCATATAGAAACCAAGGGCACAACACCAAGGAGACCTCACACTCCTTTCAGATGCAACTTCTCATGTGAGTACCAGAAAGTCTTAGACCTTAGTGCTTAAGAACCAGAAAGCAAAATTAGCCCCTAGCAAAATTGAAATAATTGCTATAATGGTACCTCTTCCTACACCACGGTCTCTCTAGGCCCAGGAGAAAAGTTCTGCAAAGAGAAAAATTGATTCCCACATAGGTATTAGGAGTGCATGATCTTTACCTTCTAATGAGTGATACTAAGGAAGAACATGCATAACTCAAAAGCAAAGATCTCGTAATGGTGGAACTTGAGGCTAAAGCTAAAGCCAGGGATAGGAAGTTTCTTAGATTTCCCCATCAGTCCCTTGTCTTAAAACACAAAAAGAAGAAAAAAAATCACTTCATATATGTGAAAACATTCTTCCCATTTGGTACAAGACACCTGACAAAGCAAAATATTTTAAATCATTAGAAAACTATCACCAAAATATTTATAAAGTAAGTCAATAAAAGCATGATTGCAGAATAACCAAGATTACTGGTACTTTGCCTAATACAAGGCAAGACCACAGCAAACCCAAGAACATTCCTTTGATCTAAATCCATATTTAAATATTCCTTAGAGGCTTAATGAAAAGTACATCCTAAAAGATGAGAGACCAAAGGTTTTCTTCTCTTTCTTTCTTCCCTCCTTTTTCTCATGTGTGCCTATGTGTGTTACTGGGGATTGAACTTAGGGGTGCTCTACCACTAAACTACATCCTTAGTTCTTTTAATTTTTTTTTATTAATTTTGAGACAGGATCTCACTAAGTTGCCAAGGATGGCTGCAAGCTTGTGGTTCTCCTGTCTCACTTCACAAAGTTTGTGGGATTACTGGCATGTGTTATAACACCTATCATAAGGTTTTCTTTCAAAATTAATTTCCAAAAAGTCTGAACAAAAACCACAACCATATTTGATAGCAAATGAAAACATATAGTGAGTGTGGAAGGAGGACAGAAGAAATAAGGATAGGTAGAGAGAAGACCAACAGGGAAGGAAAAAGAAATTGTTAAAAAATCTAAGAAGCTCCGTGGACACCCTCACCTTCCTTCTAAAGCCTGTTTTCCTCCAGGCCTAAAGTCTTAAAATGCCCTTGAATCCTGAGAGTCTAGATGATTAATGCCTACACACCTTGCTAGGCTATACAATGTATTTTCTTTAGAGTGAATAAAGCAAAGGAAAAGAAACATTGCCAGAGACTTATGATATGCGTATATGCCCAACATTATTAACGATATGACCTCAACCTTGCAATCCTGAAAGAACTAGACCATTGTGACCTGCCCTGTGCTCCATGATTAAGAGAATTAAGATCACCAGTCTTATGTCACCCCCGTGGGGTTCTTATGTTTATTATTTATTATCAAGACCCCAAAGTGCACCTTGCTCTGGAGTGCATGTATCCTGCTCTATCACTTGCTTTCCTAAATAAATCTGTTGGTGCCTCTTTTGATGTGTCCTGAAATCCTTTTTCAGCCTAAGTCAATAATCTGCAGGTCTGAGCTGAGATTCTCTTCTCCCTCCTTGGGGACTTCTTTGGTTGCCTATCCAATGACAAGTGTCAAGTATTCTGAGAAAAAGAAAAATACCTGCCCACTTATAATTTTCATAAGAAACACCTCCAATGTTTAAAAACATATAGTAAAAACATTTAAACCATAAAATTCTGTAAAAGTAGCCTAAAAGGAATGAGTTTTAGTCAAAGTTTTTGTTCCTCTAAGCTCTTTATAGTTTCTTTCACATGCAACATATTTAGTGATTTTTATATCTCTTTATTTTGCTATAAGCACCAAATCAGCCTCATAGGATGAACAAAATGAGCCTTGTAGGATAAACAAAGACCCTGGAGGATTGTGAGATAGTGGCTCTCTACATATTTAAATCAACACTGTAGAAGTGATACTCACGCAGTAGTGGTCTGCATGTCATGCCAGCTTTTGCTGAAGTTCTGCTTTAATTCATTCATCAGGTTCATGCCGAGTTTTTGTTTGATCTCAACCAGATGCCTTTCTTTCGCTGACAAAACTTGTCGTAATGTTGTAATTTCGTCTTCTAGCTACGGGTAGGAGGAAAAATGATAGAGCAAAACATCAAACAGATGAAAGGTACATTTCCAAAGGCTACAGTGCTCCAGAGCAGCCTCCAGAGCCTAATGAACTGTCTCATGCTGGGCTGTCCCAAACACATGCTATACAGATGGGAGAGTCTCACAGCACAAACTACAAAGAGAAAATTTTAGTTGTAAAGACTATAAAAGTAATGAATATTCCATGTAACAAAATTCAGATCTCACAGCCAAATACAAACACGAAAATAAATCACCTGTAACCTAGTAGGAAATAGCCGATTGTGGTTTGCTTCTTTCCTTCCATTCTCCCTTCCTTCCTTAACAATGAGGCCGGGATTGAACCCAGGTCTTTGCACATGCTAAACACTGACTCGACCACTGAGCTACACTACATCCTCAACGTATTTTTTTTTGTTGTTGTTTCTAATTTAATTCCCATTGGAACAGTGTTAGGAGGTGAGACCACTATTAATACCATCACACAGGAGTGGGTTAGTTATTTTGGGAGTGGGATCCTGAAAAAAGGATATTATAGTTTAGATATGAAGTGTCCCCCCAAAACTCATGTATGAGATGATACAAAAAAGTTTAGAAGTGAAACAATTGGGTGTTGAGAACCTTAACCTAATCAATGCATTAATCCATTTGAATTGATTAACTGGGTGGTAACTGCAGGCAGGTAGGGGGCAGCTGAAGAAGGTGGGTTGCCGAGGGTGTGCCTTTGGAGTTTATAGATTTTTGCTGGTGGGTGAGAGTTCTCCCTGCTTCCTGGTGGTCATGTCCTGAACTGCTTTCCTCCTCCACACTCTTCTGCCATAATGTTTTTACTCACTGCAGGCAATGGAACTGGCCATCTATGGACCAAAACCTCTGAAACCATGAGCACCAAATAAACTTTCCCTCCTCTAAAATTGTTCTTGTCAGGTCTTTTGGTCACAGCAATGAAAAAGCTGACTAAGACAAAGGATAAATACTGATGCTATCCTCTATCTTGTGCACCTCCATTTGGCCTTTTCCCGTGTTATGAGCCAGCATGAAGGCCCTCACCATATGCCAGCACCATGCTCTTGAACTTCCTGGCCTCCAGAACTGGGAGCCAAGTCAACTTCTATTGCATACAGTTTACACAGCCTGTGGTATTCTGTTATAATAGTAGAAGTAAGACTAAGACTAATCTTCCTAATGTTTTTCTAAAGTTGTACATGGATATAATTTTTTAACAAAAATTGATTTTGCACTACATACTTTATTTTATAAAACAAATTCCAGTGTTGCTAATCAGTATTGCTTACTTTTTGTCAACTTCATGTAGCTGCATTGGTGCAGGTATGGACATGGCAGACACCGTGGTTCTACCAAACTACTGCCTTAAGAATAGGAGGATGCATATACTGGTGTGATTTGTGTTACTTTTTCAAAGTGGTAAACATATCAATCATCATCTCATTGTTTTTTGTAATTCTTCTCTCACTCTTCTTTCCCCTCCCAGACTTTCCCTGTACACATCAGTCAACCATTGACCTTCTTTCCTCCATTAGAGTTTGGTTTGCATTTTGTAGAATTTTATATAAATTTAGTCATACACTATATACTCTTCGTATTGCTTTGTTCACTTGGCATACTTATTTAAGATTTAGCCATGTTGCTGCATTATTATTCATGTTTTCCCCTCTTCATTAAAAAATAGTATTCCACAAGCAATAATAAATGTTGGACCATCTGTTGGGAGAGGGGAGGTCCATTCATACATTGCTGGTGGCACTGCAAATTGGTGCAACCACTCTGGAAAGGAGTATGGAAATTCCTTAGAAAACCTGGAATGTAACCACAATTTAACCCAGCTATCCCACTCCTTGGTCTTTACCCAAAGGACTTGAAATCAGCATACTATAGTGACACAGGCACATGAATGTTTATAGCAGCTCAATTCACAATAGCTAAACTGTGATATATATACACAATGGAATATTACTCAGCACATGGATGGAGTTGGAGAATATCATGCTAAGCAAAGTAAACCAATCCCCAAAATCCAAAGGCCAAATGTTCTCTCTGATAAGTGGATGCTGTCCATAATGGGGGTCGGGGGCATATGAAGAATGGAGGAATCTTGACTGGGAAAAGGGGAAGGAGGGGAGGAAGGGGGCATAAAGGTAGGAAAGATGGTGGAATGAGATGGACATCATTACCCTAGGTACATGTATGAAGGCACATATGGTGTAACTGTACATCATGTACAACCAGAGAAATGAAAGGTTGTGCTCCATTTTAATACAATGAATCAAAATGCATTATGCTGTTATATATACCTAATTAGAACAAATAAATAAATTTAAAAATAATAAAGAAAAAAAGAAAGAAAAAAGAAAAGTAGTATTCCACTGAATGCATAAATGACAGTTGTTTCTTCATTTGTTGAAGTATGTTTGCATTTGGCTAATACAAATAAAGCTGCTAAGAACATTCATGCACTGGGGCTCTGTATGAACATATTTTTTCTTCCTCCATGCTGCAGGAAAGCACATTTCTTCAACATTGCTCTTGCAATTGTAATTTCTAACAAAGGAGCTGTGCAAAATACCCAGATTAGAGAGTGTTGTTGTATCCTATAAAAATAAATTTGAACCTCCACAAGGTCTGATTTTAATTAGTTGTCATACTTAAATTGTCTGCACTATACATATAGATGTGTTATATGTATTACCCTAGTAATTGTGATTAAATTTATATTTTTGCTTTCTAAAAAGTAGAAATATTTGTGGATTTTCTTTGTCAAGCCAGGAAAGAATCATTAAGAGTCCTTAGCTTCACACATGCATGAGGTTAATAAAAATCTGCCAATTTTCTAGATTTCTCATTTAAAAATTAAAAGCGAGGAAGAGTTGTGTCTCAGGTATGTTCAAAATGTCACTCTACTTTTGAGCATGAACTACATAACTAATCCATTATACATCTTGCAAATGTGTTCTCTAGGGATGGTGATGTGCTCAGTGGTCAAGTGCCCCTGAGTTCAATATCTCATTACACCTGGACCCCAAGAAAGAACTTTAAAGGATGACGGTGGTGAATTTAATTCCTTCATTTGACAAGGAGACTTTCTAGAACTAGTTCTATTATTGCGTCTCACCTTCAGTTCAAAGAGGAGTCAACCAGAGAGCATTGTTAGAATGCAGAATCCAAGCTATGTGCCCATTTTTTTAATGTCCTGAGATTCAACAAGTATCCCCAGATACTCTGATGCAGATGGTGTGGAAAATCCTCACATCAAATTTGGAACAAAATGGAAAAAGGTAAATTACATTAATTGATTAAAATATTTACTATATTCTTTCCATTTAGTTTAAAAATAATTATTTCTTCATTAGAAATTTATAGCCTGTTTCTTTGGTTTCTTGATTCTCTAGAAGATCTACTTGTAGGATAAATACTTATGATCAAAATTATATATCTAAACTTGATTATTTAAAATACGAATTGCAGGGCAGGGGTTGTGGCTCAGGGGTAGAGTACCTGCCTAGCACGTGCAAGGTGCTGGGTTTGATCTTCAGCACCACATAAAAATACATAAATAAATAAAATAAAGGTATGGTGTGCAACTACAACTAAAAAATAAGTATTAAAAAATATGAATTGCAGCAAAATAACAAGTATTGATACAGATGTGGAAGAACTGGAACTTCTAAATGTTGCTGGTAAGAATGTAAAATAATTCAGCCACCGTGGATTACAGTACAGTGATCCACAGTTTCTCAAAAAGTTAAGTACAGAATTACCATTTTACCCAGAAGTTCTACTCTTCACTATATACCCCAAGAAACTGAGAACAGTTTCTCAAACAAGTACCTGTACACCCATGTTCACAGCACAACACTAATCACAATAGCCAAGAGGTGGAAACAGCCCATAAATATATACACAGTAGTTTATGTTAAAATACTATTTATTCAACCTTAAAAAAGAAATGAAGTATTGATGCATGCTCCAACATGGATGAACTTGAAAAACCTTAGGCTACAAGTGTCCATCAAAAATGAAAGGATGAAGAAAATGTGGTATATATACACAATGGAGTTTTATTCAGCCATAAAAAATGAAATTATGTCATTTGCAGGAAAACTTATGCAACTTGAGACCATATGTTAAGCAAAATAAGCAAACTCAGAAAGTCAAGGGTCTTATGTTTTCTCCCATATATGGAAGCTAGAGATAAAAAAGAAAAGAAAGGTGTTGGGGAAGAGGATGGGGGGGGCAGTGATCACATGAAAAGCAAAGGAAAATCAGTAGAATAGAAGGAAGGGACCAGTGGGTGGAAGAGGAGAAAGGAGAGGGGAAGTATTGGGGAGGGATATTGGCCAAATTATATAGTGTTCATGTGCAAATACACAACAATAAATCCCACCATTATGTACAACTATAGTGTAGCAATTTAAAAAAAATTAGGCTTCCTGAAAGAAGCCAGACACAAACATCATATATTGTATTATTCCATTTATTTGAAATATTCAGGTACGTTAAATCCCTGTATAGATTCAGATTAGGTAAGCCCCTGGGTCTCTGTATAGAGTGCAAGTGGAACATTGCCAGAGGCTAAGGAGGTGGGAATGGGAAGCAACAGCCAAATGTACATAGTTCCTTCTCAAGGTGACAAAAATGTTTTGGAATCACATTGAGGTAGTTGATGATAGTACACTGTGAATACACAAAATGCCACTGGATTGTTCATTTAAAAACGGTTTATCTTATGTTCTGTAAACTGGACAAAAATGTGAATTAACTAATGCAAATTAGCTAATAAATTAATTTCAATCTGAAATTTATGTTAAGATTAAAAATTTATTTTTCTGTTTTACCAGCAATCAATGAAATGTATAACTAAAACTCAGGAGTAAAACTTTCATCAGTATGAATCACCAGTGTACTGTTTAGAAGTGATATCATTTGGTGGCTTTTACATACTCTTTCAAGACCTGCATCTTCAGGCTCTTCCTGGCTTGAGGAGAAAGTACCAGAAAAGAAAAATGAAAATGCACATACTATCTGGGCAGGGCATAACAATAAGGCCTATTGACCATAAACACATGTGAGCTGCTCACTAGCCCAATCCAAAAAGAGGGGAGATCTTGGGGAAAGAACACAGAGAGAAAGGCCCAAGGCTCAATGCTCTTCTTGAAGAGCCTAAGAGATAGTAGCTGAGGGCAATGTGCATTCTTGGGGACATATGTACCAAATGAAGAAGGAAGAGTCAAGACAGAGTTGGAGGAAGCACAAAAATAGGCTTTGCCTACTCGCTAATACCATTTGTTGTATTTCCAACTCCTATTAATATGTATTTTTTCTTGAGTCATTTTATCTAGGAGCCATTGGCAGTATTTGACTATTATATAACCACAAAATGGGCAGTACTAATGCCTATACTTCATCCTTTCCAAAAATCAAGACACATTATCTATAATTCCAATGCCAGGCACAGAATGCATCTTAGTGAAATTAAAGTGGAAGTGAGATGACAGTAACAGAATAATTCATCCAGTTTATTTTAAGAGAGAGAGAGAAATTAAAATGTTTCAAAACCTCAAAACCAGCTGGTAACAAGACAACAAATATCAGAAACAAAATAGTACTTCTTGGTACATTGATAAAGTTTGTAAAAAAAATGCCTATTCTACTTTGAGCATTTGCAAACATAAATATTCTCATAAGCTGCACAATAATCTCAATTAACTCTATTAACTGGACTCCTTCTATGCACAAACCATCACACCAGATCAGAGAGGATGTTGGCTTCACATTCAGAGGGCTTTCAAGAACACACATACAGCATGGCCACAACAATAAATTAAAGATCAAATTCTATTAAAAGAAATTTCTTTAAAAATATTTATTTCAAAAAGATGAATTCATCCAAGGTGAAGCCTTTTTGACATGACTGGCTTATGTCATTTCTTCCACCAAAAGAAGTCTTCCTGTTGCCAGCACTTGATAAATACACAAAATGCTGGTTGTGCGAGCAACCATGGGTTGTGAGAAAGTAGAAGTCTAAGGGCATCCTCCTGGAGGATCCACAACAACGCAGGGGAATAAGGCTGGGGGAAGTGAGATGAAAGGCTGGAGGAGGAGGGATCCACCCCGGCAGGAAGGCAACAGGAAGACATGTGGGAATGAGGAAGAAGAGTGAATTAAAGTACAGACTGCAAACCTGGCACATCAGAGACCTGCTTTTGGCAAAGCAGTAAAAAGTGGGAAGTGTATGTATACACAGAGGCCTTGCTCTGGATCAGAGCCACCTCTGCATGCCTGGGTCAAAGGCAGTTATCCAATAAGCTGGCCTCTGGGGAATCTTGGCACTCAGGTGTCTAACAGGCTAGTAAGATCTCTCCTTGGACAGAGAGTACCGTTCCTTTTGACCAAGGGACCTGGAAGAATGTCTGTGAAGAGTTGAGACCAGGGAGCAGAGTTGTTTCCAAGATGTCTTAATTACTCTTAAGGCTGGTGGTTAGACTCCTGAGATAGATCTCTGGGTGACCTTGTTATAATGAAACCAGGGCACTGAGGTAAAATCGGAATGCATCTGTGATGTGAAAGGACAAGATCTGCTCTGTGTGTGCATGTGTATGTTTGTGCGCATGGATGCATGTGCACATGTACTTGTAAACGATGAGAGTAGATTTAGGAAAAGAAGAAGCATAAAGCAGAGGTGCTTTGAGGTGAAGGGAGAAGAAATGGAAATGCAAAGAAAAATCACAAGGATACCTTGCTTTGTTTTTCACTAGCCCTGGGGCCCAGAGTCGATCCTAAGTCACTATGATGTTACCCTTGGCAACATGCAGTACTTCATCTGAAGAAGGCAGAAATAAGACAAGAAGCTCTTGCACTGAAGGCTAATGCATTATGGAGGATGAAAGCATGAATCCCCATAACTTGAACACAGTATCAGAGAGTCTGGTGTTATCTTCAGAAGTCAGGCTCCAAACATCTTAGAAATGAAATTTGCTGGAAGCTTATTACAGTGGCCAAATGAGACAGGAATTTATAAAAACACTATTAGTTTTTTTGGTATTCAGAGACATTCATTTAAAACCAGTGCTTATTGGGCTGGGGTTGTGGCTCAGCGCTTGTCTAGCTCATGTGAGGCACTAGGTTCAATCCTTAGCACCACATAAAAAATAAATAAATGAAATAAAGGTATTGTGTCCATCTACAACTAAAAATATATATTAAAAACAACCAAACCAGTATTTACTCTTTCCTGATCACAGAATAAATGCTCATTGTCGAACATTTAGAAAATATAGAATGCAAAAAAAAAACAAACAAACATAGATTCATACATGTACCTGTGTACATGTCAGTCTTTGCAGAACCCAGAAGAAATCAAGGCATTTTATAGCAGCTCGTCTGTAACAGAGGATGTGCTTTGTACATAGATCACAAAGCTCTCAGAAGAAGAAGTTGTTTTAGCTTAGAGTTAGTTAGCTTACACCAGTCTGCAAGAAAAAAACTTCTGGGCAATGCTGTTGACATGAACAGGTCATGAACCAGAATTTGGGGCCATAAGAAAATGTGGGGCAAGCCCGTTACCCATTAAGGCCAACTTTGGTCTGTGTACTCTGGTCTGTGTGGCCAGTTGGTGGCCACAGACAGAACTAGCTAAAGACCCAAGCCGTTTCATTTGAGGCACTGTGTTACTGAAATAATTTCTCCTTGTACCAGAGGAACAAGCTGCTCTTTAGATTTTAAAATAATATTACTTTAAAGTCAGGGACAGAAAGAAAAATGCCACATGATATCACTAATTTGTGGAATCAAAAAAAGCTGATCTCATGGACGCAGAGGAGATCCGTGATTACCGGAAACTGGAAGGGTAGGCAGAAGGGGAAATGGATTAGTCAACATGTATAAAATTACCGAGAAGAAATAAGTTGTGGTATCCTATTTCATAGTAAGATGATGATAGTTAACAGTATTATACTATATATTTCAAAATAAGTTTCTAGAAGAGAAGATTTGGGGTGTGTTCTTATCACAAAGCAAGGATAAATGTTTGGGGCGATGGAAATGCTATTGACCCTGATGTGATCACCACACACTGTATATCTATATGGATACATGACGCTGCACCTCACGACTATGTGCAACTGTTATGTGTCAATTAAAAATAATATTTAAAGATATTTTTAATGAAATTATTTTAGGATGTGTCTTGTAAAAGCATCTGGAAAGTCCTTCATATTATGTTGAGCTATCATAACGTATGCTATCAGAACAGAGTGGGCTAAGAGGTGGTGGATATGGTGGAGCTCAAAGTGGTGTCCTGAGCCTGTACGAAGGTCCGGGGCAGGAAGGAAAAGCTTTGCTTCCAGTGGGAAAGGGAGCCTCCTGCCTTGTGCACTGTGAACAGAGTGCAGAAGGACACTGGTCTCTGGCTCTCTTGTTCTGCTGCTACATTCTATCCAAGGAGTCCTTTCTCCAGCCTCTCCACCCAGAAAGTAAAAGCTCCTCAGCACCAAGTCTAAGGATGAGTGGGTCCTGCAAAGGCTTGAACAAGACCTGTACTCACCACGAGACAAGCACCTAACTTGTCCTCTCCACTAACCCAGATCCCATGGCAACTACACAAGATATAATTAACCTTCAATTAATATAGCTCTCCTCTCCACCCCCACTTTATTATTCTGCAAAAGAGTAAATTTAGTTGATTTCATACTTGAATTTTTCATAATTAAAATAAAAACACCATTTCACAGAAAGCTAACTGACTTAAAACAAACGGCTCTTAAAGAGGAGCTTGCATTTGTACAAAGCCTTTAAGAAATTCCATCAGGTGTGTAGGTGATGTATCCCATAGTATCATGATACTAAAAAGAACAAGAAGTACATATTTAACACTAGTTATTGCTGTTGATTAAAACAGCTCAACCATTCATTTTACCACTGTAACCAATAGGTAACTAATAATTAGCTCTACAAAAATAACTTGGAGAAAAATCAGTCATCTTGCAATGTATTTATAACAGTTTTGTAAATAAAAGACCAAATAATTGCAATATGGGACCTGTATCACAGGAATATTAATGTTCAAGAACCAAGACAGAAATAGCAAATAAAGAAGATTACCAGACATACCTGAACTAATTCTGCCTTCAACTCCTCCTTCTCCTCCTCAGAGAGCATGCTAGAGAAGTCAGCACTGGCTACTGCATCCTCGTCTCTTCCTTGCAATGGTTCCGTCTCCAACAAACCTTTAGGCAAAATTAATAAACATAATGCAATTTAAAAAATAAACTTATGCCGACTTCTGTTTCCATACCTGGAGAACTAAAGACACTGGGTGACCCTCCCACTGGAAAACGAAAACTTCCAGAAAAGAAAAAAAATATCATCCTAACTGTGTAATGAGCTCTAAGAGCACAAAGAAGGCTCAGGAGTCAAAAGTGAGAACAGAAAGCCCAGGATGTAAGCACAATAAGCTTCATCAACTTTTGGCTTTGCCACACAGGTGAATTCTGGGTTTGCTTTTTACTATGTCAGGGGCCCCAAGACCCACCCAAGAAAGGGGTTTAATGTGAGACCTCTGTAGAAACCTGTGTCCCTGCAGAGTGACATCCCAAGAGGCAGGTGAACTAGAAATGAATGGTTTTCTTCTCCACAGGGGTATGCCCATCTTGAAACTCGGCATCTAATGGACAGACAGACAAAAAAAAAAAAAA